CTGGAGTTGGTGGATGATGTGTCACGGGGGTGGTGGGGAGCAGCTGTGTGCAGGGACTTTTCACTGTCGACATGTGTGAGTCCCAGTCCAGCAGTACAAGGATGGAAGTGTATCTGTATTTGCTGGTGGGTGATCTTCTTCAAGTTCAGACGTGCAGTTGTGTGAGCTTTGAACCTATACCAGGGGGTGGGCCTTGCTGTGGTGACAAAAAATACAACTTGTTATGGGTTGAGTCCTACAGATTTGTATGTTGAAGTCCTAACTCCCAGGACCTCAGAATGTTACCTTATTTGGGATTAGGGTTGTAACATGTGTGAGTAATGAAGAGCTCATACTGGAATGGGGTGGGCCCTGATGCCAAATGACTGGTGTCCTCACATAGGGGGGAAGGTGTACACCAATCTGAGGGAATGAAGTGGGTGGGTGGGAGCAGCTCTGCTGTGAGCAGCAGAATCTTAAACCCCAGGGCCTGGACAAAGACTGGCTGTTCTGGGCCACCCACTTTGTGGGACTTTGTTATGATATTCCTAGGACACTGATGGCTTTGCCATGCTGTGTCTGACCCCATGTAATAAACTTGAATTGGAAAATTAGAAAACTAAGACCCACTTTTGGAGGGTGGGTCCTCAGAGAAGGAGGCTTATGTCACTGTTCAAGTTGAGGGCGGCTCCTGCACTGCCTCGGTGGGGCACCTGCTCAGGTGTGATGCCTCTGGGGCCTTGGGGTTGGGGAGGGTTTACGGCTCTGACTGAAACAGGATGAGAAGAGGAGAGTAGGAAGGCCTGGGGATCTGGGGCCAGGGTGAGGATTTTGTGCTTTGTCTAAGGCTCTGGAAGGGGGACCTCTGGGTCCTGGAGTGCTGGATCATCTGCTGAGGCCAAGTGAACTGAAGGGCTGGTTTAAGGCTGCATTTGCCAGGCCTGGAAGGTGGGGTGTGGAAGAGGGTTGGAGGAGTGGGGCAGAAGGTCAGTTGGTCACTGGCTTACTTGCAAAAGGAGAGCCAGAGCCATTGGGAGCACAAGAAACGTGGAAGTGTGCCTGCTGTACCTGTCCTCAGGGGGTCCACAGCACATGGGGAGTCAGTATCTGGGATGGTGGTGGGTGGTAGCATTGGCTGTGCCTCCTGAACGCTGGAGCTTCTGGTTCTTTTTAAGTTCTTGCCAGAGTACCATCCTTGGCCATGCCTAACAGGCAGGGGCTGGTCTGTTCTGTCCCTGAACCAGGTTTTCTCACGTTGCTGTGTCTGCTCTGCGTCCACCTTGGCACCAGGGGGCAGGGTGGGGGGAATCTCTCCACTTGCACTGGATTTTGTCCTTCTCTTCTCTGGAGCCATTTGCTCAGCTGGCGGTCTTGGCTTTTCTTTTTTTTTTTTTTTTTGGTGGGAGGGATGATGGGACTGAGGTTTGAACTCAGGGCTTTGTGCTTGCAAAGCAGGTGCGCTAGCACTTGAGCTATACCTTCACTTCATTTTGCTCTGCTTATTTTGGGGTTTTTTTTTGGTCGGGTATTTTTTGAGATAGGATCTCCCAAACTAATTGCCTGGGGGTGGCTTTGAACTGTGATCTTCCTGATCTCTGCCTCCTGAGTAGTTAGGATTATAGGCTTGAACCACCTATACCCAGCTACTCTGTTTTGTTTGGAGAGGGGTTCTTGCAACCTATTTGCCTGGGCTGGTTTCTAACTGTGATCCTTCTGCTGAGCCTCTGAAGTAACTAGGATTCCAGGCATGGGCCATCAGCATCCCAACTCAGTCTTGGCTTTGGTGTCACCCCTAGAGAGACTTCTCTGGTTGCCCCTGTAAACAGGCCATTGCCACTGATGGCATCTGCTTTCTGGCTTCCTTCTTCTCACTGCCATCTGCTATTGTTCTGTTTATCTCTGGCTTCCTCCAGTCCTGTCTGACCTACTTCATCCCAGGGCCTCACGCAGGCTCCTCATGCAGACCATTAGAAACCACCTGGAGGATGGGATGCTGTACCTTATGCCTCATGACCACGTTGCAACCTGATTATTCAGATTCTTACAAAGGGAGACTCTTGTGGCATTGTGGGTTGAAATAGTCTCTCAAATGCTGTATTCAAGTCTAACCCCAGGACCTGTGAATGTGACCGTATCTGGAAATAGAGCATTTGTAGATGTGAGTAAGATGAGGCCGTGCTGAAGCAGGGTGGGCTCCACACCAGAAGAAACATCCTGGGGAGAAGGCGTGTGACGATGGGATAGAGTGGATCAATACACATGGGAGCCAAGGAGCATGAAGCCTCCCAGGAGCCACCGGGGCTAGAACCCACCGACAGCCCTCCCAGCCTCCTGAAGGAGGCGCACGCTGACTTTGGACTTCTGGCTCCCAGAGCCTTGGGAAGATGAACCTCAGTTGTTTAAGTCACTCAGTGTGTGGTGCTCTGTTGTGGCAGCCCTAGGAATGCATCTGGACTTGAGCATAGGTGTTAGTGACTGCCGAGTGACATGGCCTCCTTGAAAGAAATGCATGTTCTACATGGGGTCTCCACACTCACAGCCCCTGCCCCTCTGCTTCCAGGTGGAACACGCTCTTAGCACCTGGCTTGGTCCCATCCATTTATGGTGAGCTGCCTTTTATTGTGGTGCTGGGGCTTGGTAATAGGTACGTGCTATACCACTGATCTTCATCCCAGTCCAGTGAGCTGCTTTAGACTCACTGTGTGAGTCCTGTGCATTGTGCTATACACACTCCTTCCTGTAGATGCAGTGCAAAGCAGTCTCTGTGAGCATGCTGTTCCATGTTTTAAATCTGATTTATGACAGAGGATGAGCATTCCATACTTATTTAGCCATTCCCCAAGTTAGTGCGTGTAGACCCTCCAGATGTCCACACCTCACACAGGATGGCAGTGAGCCAGGAACGTGAAGGCAGTGATGCAGTACTGTCATCTGACAGTACCTAAGGAGAGTGCTTGGCTTGCCAGCCATCCAGCTGAGGGAGGCCCTGCAAAGCCCTTGTCCACTGTGAGGGCATGCTTTAGAAGTTGGGGCCGAGGATGATGAGCAGTGTGCCAGTTTGCCCATGGCTTCTTGAGTCCCTGCTGGCCCTGCTCAGCTGATGTAGAACGAATGCTGTGCCAGCAGTACAGCTGTCTCTGAGTCAAGCCCTTGGTTCGAAAGACACACAGACCTGGCCGGCCCTGCCTTAGCTGCCATAGCTTTCAGGTGGGGGCTGGTGATGCCAGCACAGAGCTAAAGTTGCAGTGATGCCATTCCTGGTCAGATGAGCCAGCTGGGACAGTATTTCTGTGGTTATGTTGTGCCTCTGGCAGGGAGCAGCTCCTGGCATGTGGATGGCACCTTTGGTTGGGGTGCACTCAGACCTGCTTGGGCTGGGCCACCTGGTCCCACACCCTCTAATGGGCTCAAAGGCAGGCTCCACAGCTGCCCTGTGTTTGCCTGGTTACAGTGTTGATGGTGGCTTTTGGGCCTCATTTTTTCACAGTTATACAGAGGAAATTACTGATTCCTGTTTGGGTGTGTGTGGGTTTTTTTTTTTTTTTTTTGGTGGGACTGGGGTTTGAACTCAAGACTTCATACTTGCAAAGTGCTCTACCACTTGAGCCACACCTCCAGTCTATTTTGGTTTGGTTATTTTGGAGATGGGCTCTCACAAACTATTTGCCCAGGCTGGCCTCAAACAGTGATGATCCTGATTTCAGCCTCCCAAGTGTAGCATATGTGAACCACAGGTGCCCAGTTGGTGTGTGTGCATTTTTAAGAAAGAAAAGTTGGTGTTGAATTTTGTTGAAATCTTTCCAGCATCTATGTAAGTGTTCATATGCTGTTTTCTTTAGATCTGCTGACATTTTGCTGACATATTTATAAGTTGGATGTGTCTTGCTTTCCCAGCAGTCCCCCTCTTGCTGTGACGGTGCTCCCAGTGGGTGTGGGCCATGTTGCTTGCACCTGCCTGGTTTGGGGCAGACGCTCCTCAGGCCGCTTTGCTCGGTGGAAGTGTGGGGCCTGTGCCCCAGGTGCTCCAGCATGCTACCCACCCTGCCCCTTGACTGGGTCCCATTGGACGCACACCCTGGAGGTCCTGAGGTGGTCCTGTCAGGCTGTTTTAGCTTCCAAGAGCTCTTTTGTGTTTTCTCTGCATGCTCCTTTCCCAGGAGTATGCTTGTTCTGATGTATTGTGTGACACAGTACCTTGTCATACTGAGGGCAAGACTGACCAAACGGGGAGCATTCACCTTCTTTCTTCCCCTTTGCTTGTTCTATCTGTTTTCCTGCCATCTATTTTGACTGCTTTTGCTTGCTGAGCTGGTGGCCCTTGGCAGCTGCTCACACTCAACTGAGAAGGATTGGAGCTGTGCATGGGTGGTGCACGACAGCTGCACCAAGGATGCAAGGCTCCTTGCTGGGCCACCTCTCCCTATGGGCAAAGTGACCCAAGCTATCTGTTTACAGGCTGGAGAGCCAGAGCTCATGGACTGCCTTTTGTCATCCTGGCCTGTTGCCTCTGGCTGGCCTGGTGCAGAGCTCTGCACTTGCTCCCACCCTGCCCGGTATCCTTTGGAGGGAATCCCAGATTCAGGAGCCAGAGTGAGAGGGATGGGTACCCAGCTGCTGGAGCAGGCCTGGGGTATGTGGGCTCAGGAGCTCTCCAGTGTGGTTCTCAACTGCCAGCTGGAGGTCTGTTTCCTGGCGACTTCCCAGCTTCTAAGGTGAGGCTGCCGTTTTTTCTTTTCTGATTTCATTGCACTTTTTGCAATAGGGCCTGCGGGTGGCCTTTCCTGCTGCTTCAGGCCAGGCTTTGGAAAGGGCTGGTTCTGATGTGCGCCTCTTCCTGTGTCCTTTATCCAGAAGACCCCATTACTAGAGGTTCCAGGAAAACACATGCCTGGTGGTTTTGAAAGTGGGAGGGTGTTTATGCAGCAGGGATGTCAGGAACATTTTGTTCATACAGGACTCCACATGTAACACAGTGAACAGAATGGTTCTACCTGTAGTCACGTGGCAATCTCTCTTTGCAGAGACGCAGCTCTGAAGAGCCCGTGGAAATGGGCTGTTCGTCTGTGAGATGGAGACGCAACCCTGAGACATAGCTTAGCTCCAGCAGTGATCTGGGCCTGCTGATGTCTGATGCTCTGGAACTCCAGCCCCCATTGGTGTGGATGGAGAGAGGGCCCTGACCATGGTCACACTCATCACTGAGAAGCTGCAGAACCAGAGTCTGGATGACCTTAGCCACAAAGCCCGGGAGACTGGCCTGGTGAGTTGGCTTTAGGACCAGACACAGGGCACTGCTCACCCTGCTGTGTCATGGGAGACAGCTGCACTGGAGGTGGAGGCTCGGGCTGAGGGCTGAGGGACCCTCTGTGGGGCTGTCTGACATGCATCAGTGTGCTTGAGAGCCCATCAGCATTGCTGAGCAAATAAACAGTTGATGAAAAACTTACCTTCAGATGGACCTGCATATATATCTAGGTCCATCAGGACAGGTGACCCCAACAGATGCCCTCCAAGGGAACCTGTATCAGATTTATCACCACAGATTCATTTTGCCTGGCCTGAACTTGGTGTGAGCCATTGACATGCCACCTTCAGGACACCCCTGCCCAGTTTAAATTGTAAGTGCAAGGAGGATGTGGCTTAGTGTCCAGCCTTCGGTCTAAATACAACACAGGTGGCCATATTGGGAGGGTCTCCACAGGGCCTGGGTGTCTTCAGAGCTGCTTCCCTCCTGTCACCAGAGCCCTGCTCCAGTGTCATCAGACTCACATACATAGACCACCATTTGTTTACTGTCCTGTCGATGGACATTCAGGCTGCTTCCGCTTTTTGGTTATTAGGAGTATTGCTGCCATTGATACTCACACACGTTTTGGTGTGGACATGAGTTCTTTGTGGGTATGATTCTCGGGGTGAGTTGCTGGCTCTTACGGTGTCCCGTGTTTAACATTGTTTTCCATAGCAGCTGCATCATTTTACATCTCCCAGCAGGGCACGAGGGGCCTGTTTCTGTCCAGCCTTACGATTATAGCATCCTTGTGGGTATGAAGTGCTGTCCCCTTGTGCTTTTGATTTGCAGTTCCCTAGTGACTGTTGATGGCAGACATTTTTCCATGTGTTCATTGCCATTTGTCTGTCTTCATTGATGAAGTATCCATTGGAATCTTTAGGGTTTTTTTGTTTTGTTTTGTTTTTTTTGGCAGTACAGGGTTTGAACTCAGGGCCTCAGGTATTCCACTGCTTGAGTACCCGAGCACTCAGCCCTTTTTTGTGTTAAGTATTTTCTTTGTTGGTTTTTAAAGCTTACTTATATATTCTGGATACTAGGCCCTTATCAGATACATGACTTGTAAGATTTTTTTCCATTCAGCATGTTGAATTTTCACTCTGTTTTTCTTTTTGGTAGGACTGGGCTTTGAACTCAGGGTTTCTCACTTCAGGCACTCTGCCACATAAGCTATGTACTCAGTCTATTTTGTGTGGTAATTTTGGAGATGGGGGGGAGCACAGATGAGGGCTGGCCTCAAATTGTGATCTTCCTGATCTCAGCCTCCTGAGTAGCTAGTGTTACAGGCGCAAGCCACCGGTGTCTGGCATTTTCACTCTCTTGATAGTGTCCTTTAAAGCACAAAGCTTTTATTTTGATGAGGTCCAGTTAATGTGTTCTTTTATTGCTTGTGCTCTTGAGGTCATATCTAAGAATCCTTTGCCCTATCCAGGGTCATAAAGATTTACACCAATACCTGTGCTTTCTCTGAGGAGTTTTATGGTTTTAAATCTTACATGTAGGTCTTTGATCCATTTTGAGTTTTGTATATGATGTGAGCTAAGGGTCCACTTTCTTTTTCTTTCTTTCTCTTTCTTTTTTTTTTTTTTTTTTTAAATGGAGACAAGGTCTCATTGTGTAGGCTGGTCTCCAACTTTTTATCCTCTGCCTCAGCCTGCCAAGTGTTGAGATTATAGGTGTTCACCAGTGTGCCTGGTCCAATTTCATATTTTCGTATGAAAAAAATGCTCATCATCATTTGCTGGAAAAATTATTCCTTCCCCACTGAATGAATGGTCTTTGCCATCCTTGTCAAAAATTTGCATTTTTTAGAGCTAAATCTTTTGAAACTTTGTATTTTACACTGCAGCAAATCTCAATTTGGACATTATAATTACAAAATAAAGGAACAAGAAATTTCATTATAGATTTTTTTTTTCCTGCAGTACTGGAGTTTGAATTCAGGGCCTACATCTTGAACCCTTTTTTATGAAGGGTTTTTTCAAGATGGGGTCTTACGGTCTATTTGCCTGGGCTGGCTTCAAGCCACAATCCTCCTAATCTGTGCTTCCTGAATAGCTAGGATTATAGGCATGAGCCATTGGCGCCCAGCCTCGTTACAGAAATACTTGATCTGCAGTTAGTTTTCATAAAATTCTCACTTAAAAGTAGATTCATGCTACTTGTCCTAAACACACTTGAAAATTTTCAAGTGAATGGAGTATCAGTTTTAAAACTAAAATCTAAAACAATGAAATTTAAATAAAAGCAAGTCATTAAACACTCAGTTCCTCCATTTCTGTAGTCATGGTGCTCATCCCAGGTCATTTGTACAAGCTGCCCTGAGCACTGCTGTGTGCCAGGTGGGGACCCTACATCCTGACCCTTGGGCCAGGTGGAGACCCTACATCTAGGACCCTTGGGTGGGGACCCTCATTGGAGTGAGGAGGCCATTGAGTGCAGAGTGCAGCAGAGCTGGAAAGGAGTGCAGGGAGCTTTGGCAGGGATGGTAGCTGACGCCTGCCAATAGGGGCTGTTTGCTCGTGACACATGCCTGGCAGGGTTGTCCCTTCTGGTCTAGAGCTGTGTCCTTCCTGTCCTCACCAGGTGCAGAGGGCCTGGCCTCTCGCATGCTCCTTTTTGTGTTTACTTTCTCTGGTCCGATGAAACCCCTATTTTTTTACAGACGTCTGTGTCTGAAGCATGCCCAGCTTCTCCTGCCCTGCCTCCTGGTACTTGGGGGATGGAGGATAGTCTAGCTGTGACGAAAAGACCTATAAAGATAGGATGAAAGGTTACACCCTGGTCCCACTGCCCCCATCCCCTGTCCTGATAGAAGAGTAAGTGCCTTGGCCTGTCTTGAATCTTCTAGCATTCTCCATATAAAGTGGTACAGTTCCTGGTTGTGGTAATGGGTGGGTGGGGCAGGAGAGTGCTGTCCATGGAGCCCTGTGCCACAATGGGATCCATGCTGTCCTAATGTAGAGCTGCTGTAGCCTGGAGGTACAGCCATGTGCCTAAGGAACTGAATGTCAAATATGTATAATGTAAGTTAAATATGACCAGCTTGAATGGTGGCAGCTGTTGTGCTGGATGGCACAGACATTGGAGTCTCCAGTTCTGCTTGTAGCAGTTTTCAGATGGCATGAAGGCTCCCCTTGTCCCCCTGCTGTGGCCACACTACCCTCTCCTTCATCTCTCCCTGGCAGTGCTCCATCTTCTCCACCCTGTGTTCTTTTTTCATGAGTGATTCATGAATGGAGTCACATAGCATGTAATCTTTTTAGGGTTGGCTTTTCATTCCACATAACTGTCTGGGGAGCCACTGGGCTGTGGCATGAGCCTCTAGTTTGCTGTTTTGTACTGTGGAGGAACATATTAGGGTGTCAGCACCTGAGTGTGTAACACTCACCAGTGGAGGATCATCATAATCCTAACTCCACTCTGGTGGGACTCAGCAGGCTGAGTTCTCCATGGAGCCTTAGGTTCTGATTCGTCTGATTGTTTACAGCTGTCAGCCAAAGGAGGTTTTTTTTTTTTTTTTTTTTTTTTTCCCACCTTGAGGGATGGCATACATAGTTGCCTGTGACTGCATGTGGAGGACTGTTGAGGAAAGCAGGTGCTCACTTCCAGGGAGGCAGATGGTGACTGGAGGAAGAAGGAGTTGCTGCAGTATTTGGAGAAAATGGAGCCCTTGGAGTGCTAGAGTGGCTGGGGTGGCCAGGGCTGTGGCTCTGGGTGCAACTGAAGGCAGTGGGTGGTGAGCTGTATGGGTGGCTGGGGAAGAACCTTCCTAGCTGAGGACCTGGTGGCAGTGGAGACCATGCAGCTAGGTCCTGGGATTCGACTCGAAGCAGAGGGGTCACGATGCAGATCAGGGTAGCAGCCCCCTCTAGTTACAAGGCAGGGAAGGGAGAAGAGGCCCAGGGGGTGCTGGGAGAGCTGCTAGCTTGAGGTGAGTGATAGGGGGTGGGAATTGAGGTAAAGGATGTTGGGGGTTGAGGAGAAAGGGGGGGGGATGACATGAGTAAGTGGAGGGGGGGGCAAGAGGCACAGGGAAGTCCATGGTGCCACTAGCCTGGTGGATGTGGCCTGTGTGGACCTGGCCTGGGTGGACGTGGCCTGCGTGGACATGGTCTGTGTGCACCTGGCCTGGATGTTGATACTGTCCAGCTGCACAGGTACAGGCTTGGGTTGGCTCAGCTCAAGCTTGAGGTCTCAGCACATCTGTGGTGTCTCCCAAGGAGTGTTCAAAAACTGCCATGTCTCGTGGGACAAGACATGATGTACATACAAGGGCTCTGGAATGAGGTGTGATAGACAGGCTGGTCCCAGAGAGTGGCTGGCATGCAGCACTCTGCGTTCAGGCAGAGAAGCTGGTGGACCTAATATCCCGAGTGTCTGGGCCCATGTTCTCAGACTGTTCATCTGCTTACCTCACATTCCACTCAACCAGTGCTGTGTGGATCCTGGCTGGGAAGTGTTAGGCTGCACTCCACCACCCCTTGCATGTACACTTGAGTTGGTTGCACCTGGGCAGGTGCAGGGCTGTGGTTCCTGAGCCATCCTGGGAGTCATTTGAGCTAGCTGAGAAAGACTTGTCTTTGCTAGCATCCTTGGGGTGGGTGTGTTCTGTTGCACACTGGGGACAAGGCTGGGGAAGGTGGGCTCTGAGCAGGCAGAGCACATGGACATGGTGCATGCTATGGGGAGGGAGGCTGCCAGTCATGTGGAAGGGGAAGCGGGAATTCCAGCCCCAGGCTGGAAGGATCTGCAGCCCCAGAGGTGCTTGCAGCCCACTGTGGGTTTGCACAATGGTATAAAAGCCTTTAGGTCGTGTGCTGACCAGTGAGTCTCCACTGTCTGCAGAGCTGCTTTTATCTCTCTCCACCTGAACCTGAAGGCCTGTGCCCATGCCAGGCCCAGTATGGCAGTGTGTTTGGCAGCTGTGCACAGCTATGCTGGTGGAGGTGCAGCCCTGCCTAGTATAGTTTACCTGTCTGGACAGCCTGCCTGTTGAAGAGCCTCTTCAATTTATTTGCTTTTCTTTTTCCTTTTCTCTCCTGTCCTCTCCTGTTCTCTCCTCTCCTCTTTTCTCCTATTCTTTCTTCCTCTCCTCTCCCCTCCTCTCCCCTCCTCTCCTTTCTTTCCTTTTTTGACAGGGTCTCACTATGTATCCCAGGCTAAACCTGCTTTCTTCCTGTCTCTGCCTCCTGAGGGTTGGGGGTTACAAGTGTGTCCACCACGCCCAGCTTTCCTGCTCTGCCTCTGAGTGCTGGGCAGAACTTTGTGCCTGGACTTCCCCTTATGTGAAGCAGTAGTAGTTCCTGAGACTTTGTGGGGCAGAGTTGGAACCAAGAGAAAAAACCCTGTGGTGTTAGCCACAGTGCCTCCCTGCCAGACCCTGATGCTGCCTGGTCCCTAGAGCTTGAGTCCCTGCTATCTGGACACTTCCCAAGACCAAGGCTACCCTCCTTGGCTTAGGGCCTGGTCCCATATCGAAACTGTCACAAGTAGGAAAGGGCCACTTAGGGCCTGGCTCAAGACCTTTCTGAAGAGTACGTGGTGAAGTTTGAAAGATGGAGGCAGCTCAAAGCAGCTGAGAGCCAGTGTTTCAGGAGCAGTGCTGGAAAGCAGGCTTACACCTTGCAATGCAAACATCCATTTATTCAGCTGAAGCTTGTTAGTTTTTAAAAACCTCTATTTGGAATAAAGAGTGTTCCAGAGGCTAGTGCTTCTTACTTTAATTACCAAAAAGAAAGCGTTAGGGAGAAATAGGATTTATTGCAGTGATAAAAACATGGGAATATTTCATCTCTCTGATTTTCACATGAGTCACAGTACTGAAACTTCTCTCTTATCACTTTCAGTATTCTGTTGAGAAACTGAACAGAAGTGGCCATTTGTTCTCTTTGGAAGTTGGTGGTAAGTGTCTCACAGTTCTGGCAGGGTCTTCAGGGCTGGACTGGCCATGGATGAGCAGGGTGGAACCAGGCCCCTGGGACAGGAGGGGATCTTGGAGTTGAAATGAGCCTCGTCTTTAGAGCAAGGCATAGGGAAGTCTTTTTGTGTCATACAACATGGGGCAGTGGAACAGGACCAGCCAGGGCCCCTCCCTTTTTTGCTGGTGGCAATGTGGGTGATGGCCAGGAGACTGCCTTGTCCTTTCTGGGAGGTACAATTCCCAACCCACGGTGTCCTTCAGCCACCAGAGGCACTGCCTGTGGTCTTGACTGCAGCTCTACTGTGGTGCACCCTAACTGGCCATGGGCCGTGTGTTCCTAGATCTGCCCAGGCTCACCTTCAATCCCTGATGTGTTCCTCTCAGTGGCTGGAGCAGAAGGTGACCTCTGAGTGTGGGGGCTCACTGGTATCCATACTCTTGATGAACCCAAGTCCCTGGTCCTCCTAGCAAAGGCTCCAGGAGGTAGAGTATAACCCTGTCTTAGCCCTGACCAGGGAGCTGGTGCCATGCCAAGCAGCCCTAGTGTTGATGCTGTGCCAGGCTCACCTTGCTGAGCACTGGGCTACCAAAGTGAAGGTCTTTATCAACTTCTGGCATGAGTAGGTGGAAGCACAAAAGTATGAGTCCCCAGCCAGTCTCCGTCTCACCTCAGGGCATTGCATCCTCACTCCTACTTGCACCTCAGCCTCCTGGGTTCCACACTACACATGGGGCCAGACTGACCATCTTAGTCCTCACCCAGAGCCCCTGGGCCTCCAACATTCCTCACCTCTATTTCTGATCTCAACTCCCCAGCTGGCCTCCTCACTTCCTCACCCTAGGGCCCTTGCACATGCCTTTCCCCAGAGGTGGGCCTGGATGCTTCTGCTTCAATGTCCCTTGGCTGGATGGTCACTGTAGAAGCAGCAGGAGGAGACCTAGTGGCCTGCTGAATGCCCTTCTGCTGAGAACATGCAGAACTTCCTCTGGGCAAGTCCATGGGTATCTGGGATTCAGAGCTGGTGCTGACTCCCATGTGAGGAGACCCACATTCCTGACTTTACATTCACGTCTTCTCCAGGTGATGGTTGAAGCAAGTTCCTGCCCTTGACAGCTTGGGCTGTGGCAGCTGTGAGGATACATGTGGAGTCCTGGCACCAGGCTGGGCTGGGTGGGAAGGGCTAGTGGGAAGCGGGCCTCCTGTGTGGAGGGATGCAAATCTTGGTCCTTGGGGTGCTGAGGTTTGTAGCTGCTGGGGTTTTGATGCCTGAAGGGCTCCTGAGTCTTCCTCAGAGTATGAAGAGGGGGCAGAGGGAGCCCCCGTACGGCACACTTCCTTATAACACTGTCATGCACATGGTGTCTCATAGGACCCCCAGCAGTGAGGGTCCATCACTAGCACTTTGTTTGACAGCTGAGGAAGAAGAGACTTGAGGGTGCTGAGGTGTCTCTGTCCTGGTCTACAACCCTCATCTGGGCTGTGACTGCAGTGGTGAATGTCTAGGCTGGGCTCCTTGTAAGGAGACAGCTCTTTTCTGTTCTGTGTAATGAGGTTCAGGATGTCCCTAAGAAGCAGAGCTTGAGGCTGGCTCTTCCTACGTCACAAAGGAATATGACTGTTTCTAGGAGGCTGCTCTCTGGAGGTCCTTGCTGTCAGAGGTGCAGTCCTGTGACCAGGGAGAGAGGAAAAGCGTGTGTCTCAATGAAATGGGTGTGAGAACAGAGTCAGGTCATTATTTTCAGGAAAAACTCTGATAGGCTCTAATTTGCCTAAGATTAGATGTTTTCCTTGAGGTGAAACAAGCCCTGTAGCTGACTCAATAGGAAGGCTCAGACATGTCTGTGCCCTGTGTGCACCTGCTGGCCATATACCATGCCCTCAGAGCAGAACCCAGGAGGGGAGCAGCAGAGCAGTCCTCCCTGTTTTGTCAGGCAGTTTACCCGCTGCTCCCGCTGCTCACCTGTCTCTTTTCTGCCCCTTTGTGTTTCTTCAGCAGACAAGAACCCCTGGACAGCCTTGCGTGGGAGACGGCCTGTTGGAAGCCAGGTGGCAGCAGGCCCTGCTTGCCCTTTCCCGCCGTGTGGTGCAGCTCACACCAAGGGTCTCTGGAGGCCAGAGTCACCAGATCCATGCGTGGGCCTGGGCGTGGGCAGCATCTTGGACCTCTGTGAGAACACAGGGCCACCAGTAGCACCACCAACCAAGCGTCACTGCCGATCCTTGTCAGAGCCAGAGGAGCTGGCACGCTGCCGATCTCCATGGCGCCCTGGTGGCTCCAAGGTTTGGACTCCGGTCTCCAAGAGGCGGTGCAACAGTGGTGGGAGTGCCACACTGCAGCGCTGCAGTGGCCTTGGGAGCACTGCCGTGCAGGGAAGCAGGAGCACAGGCCTGCCCAGGAGCCCTGTGTCACCCAGTGGTCCCACCTCTCCCCTGGCACCCCGGCCAGCCTCAGCCAGCAGTGGCTTCGTAGACAGCAGTGAGAGCAGCACAAGCTCTGGTCCTTCCTGGTGCGCTGTGGGGCCCTGCCCACTCTCCAGGCGCCGCCTGTCTCTCTCACAGGAGCACCTTGCAGATGCGGGTGCCCACCTTCCTTCGGCCAGCAGCACCCCCACGTCCACACCTGAGCTAGGCCGGCGTCATGGCCTGCTCCGGTGCCGTTCCCAGCCATGTGTGCTCAGTGGGAGGAGGAGCCGGCGCAAGCGGAGACGTGAGGAGGCCAGGTGGACCCGCCCGTCCTTGGACTTGCTAAAAATGACACGGGTGAGGCTGCATTGTTGTTTCTTGGTGCTTAGGAAAGCCTAGGTCTAGATGGAGGTCATCCCCAAGGTGAGGGGTGAGATTGGTTCTGGCAAGGAGCAAACCCATCTCATCGTTTGGTTGGTTTTTTCTGAACCAAGATGCAGCAAAGTGAGTCAATCATGCAGTTCAGCCACAGCCCAGATTGTAGTGAAGATGTGTAGATTACTGCACTGTGTTCACACTTAAACAAAGACCCCCCGCACACTGGCTCACGGGGGCTGGCCAGGCCGCAGTGGGCCTTTGCCCCAGGTCTGGGGGAAGCAGAGAGAAGCTGGGCAGGGAGTTTCTGGTCAAACAGGGCTATCCCACCTGACTACTTTGTTCAGGAAGTGAGAAGCCATTCGGGAACCCATCTGAGGCAGAGGCCTGGTTGGGCTCCAAAGGAAGCACAGCCCAGGCCAGTGGCTTTCATTGCCTCCCAAGAGCCAAAGGGCCTGGGTTTTGGATCTCTGCCTGTCCAGGACTGCAGGCCTGACCTTACCTCCTCTGTATGTGCTGCTGTGGGTATGTCACACCCTACATGTTGTGAGTGGTACTAGGGCCATCCTGGAGGGAGTGGCTCGAGTGTGATCTGTTGAGCCCTACATCAGGATATGAATAGATAAGGCAGCAGTTGCAGCCAGGCTGAGGAACACTGTCTGCAGTCTTGTGTGGATGTCCACCCTGTACCATGATGGTGTGTCTGCTGGCTTTGCGTCTCTCACTGATGGTTGGTTTCTTCCTGGTGGCAGTGGGATTTGAGAGCCTAGACTCCCCAACTCTGAATCTTTCTGCAGAGAGCTGGGGTTTGGAAAGGAAGGTAATGACCTACATGTGATGGTGATTGTTGGAAAGCTGGTGCAAACTCTGGACACACTGAACTGTTCTCTGCTAGCCAGTGTCATGGTATGTGGCAAATTGGTATCACCCATGGGTGTCAGGAGGACAGTGTAAGAGAAGGGGAAGAAGGAGGAGCTGTTGACTGGGTGCCTTCTGGGGCTGGGAATAGCTTGTGCCAGGGATGTGTTGATGATCAAGGGACAGTCCTGCTCTGGAAATGCTGTGGACGCTCTATACACATCTGTGGGAGAGAGAGGAAGGTGGGTATGACCAGATGGTGGCGCTGGTGTTTGGACATTTCAGGTATGTGGCTCCGTGTGGTGGCAGGGATGCTCCCATAGGATGAGGCTTGGCCAGTAGCAAGGACTTATTAGGCCCCAGATGAGGCATGGTGGCTCCCGGCTGCCTGGGGCAGCCCCAGGTGCATGAAGGTGTGGGAAGTCAAGATCTGAAACTGCAGGGCCACAGCTGAGCGTGTGAGCATTGTGGGCACAGGTGAGCATTGTTGGAATTGGGTGGCTCTTGGCTTCCTCTGAGCAGGTGTGTGTTGCTGCAGTGTGGGCAGTGGTTCATTCTCTCTGGGAAGAGGTATGGGACTGCATGGGGCTGGAGCCAGAATCCGCCAGAGGGCTGTGGGGTGAGTGGGAGCATCAAGGCCATCAGTTCCTTAGTGTTCATGTGGTCCCAATTGTTGGAGGACCTGGACTTTCTACCTGGTCTGTGCTCCATCGCTAAGCCTTGGGGTGCTGCCCTATCACCTGGGTGTTCTGTGGTCTGTCCCTGTTTCCTCTAGTTGTTTGTGTCAGGCTCTGAAATCCTCTACTCCTGAGATCCTACTCTCATTGGTTCTTTCTTACACTATTGTCAGCCTTGATTTACCTTGTCACCCCCACCAGCATGATCTCTCTGAAATCAGGTTCAGGATCGCTGTTGCTGCATAACAGGTGAGCCCAGTTTATCTGGAAACATCACAGCTGTGCTGCTTCGCTGTCTCTGCAGGGGAGGGAACAGGAGGCAGGAGGCCTGGCTGGGAGTCCTGCTCATGCTTCAGCAGCAGGACCTGCTGCCCCTTTGTGGCTTCTGTTCTTGGCCACATGGCCTCTGTGGGACGTGTGGACATCGTCAACTTTCCCAGAGTAGGTGATCTGGGGGCACCAAGGAGTTTGCTGCAGGGCCTCTGTTGCCCAGCTTCTGTCAGCTCAGATTTGCTTTCTGAGGACTCTGTCTAGCTTGTGCAGCTAGAGCTCTTGCTGAAGGGAGTGGCATGGAGATGTTTTACACAGCAAGTGCATTAAGGAGCCCCGAATGTTGAATGGGTGTGACCATGACAGCGCTGGCCATGGTGTCTGGAGTCGTCAGGACAAGTTGAACAGTGTGGGAGGCCAGGGCAGGGAGAGCATTGTGCATTAAGGACCTACCATGTGTACCTCACAATGACTTTTCTTTTTGTCTTAAAAAATTGCTAGATTTTAGTAATTTAAGATGGCCCTGGTTGAGTCAGTGTCCTGGTTCTTAGGGTAGAAACTGTTTTCTGCCTGTCAAGGACACGCACACTGTTCTTTTGTTTCTGAGACCTAACACGTTTGCAGCCAGAGTAGACACAGCAGGTATGGAGCTGGTGTACGTTTTGTGCACAGTGCAAAATTATTGAAGCTTCCATTCTCTGAATTTACTGGCATAATCTTCGTAATTACAATGAAAGATTAATGCCTCAAACTTTTTTCTTTTTGGTAGTACTGGAGTTTGAACTCAGGGCCTCACACTTGCTAGGCAAGTATGCTACCACTTGAGCCAATCCTCCAGCCCTTTTTAGTCTGTTATTTTTCAGATAGGGTCTCAAGATTTTGCCTGGGGCTGGCTTCAGATTGCTGTCTTCCTACCTACCCCTCCATGTAGCTGGGATAACAGGCACACACCACCAGACCAAGCTTATTTTTGTTGAGACAAGGTCTCACGAATTTTTAGTCATGCTGGCCTTGAATTGCAATCCTCCCAGTCTCTACCTCCAAAGTAGCTAAGATTACAGCCATGCCCAGCAACACCTCAAACTTAATTGTAGACTCACCTCAGGGTAAACGGATAACATTTTGCCATTTTTTTTTTTTAGGTACTTTCTTAATGAAATGGAGAGGTGCAGGTACCTTATAGCTCTGTGTCCTTCCCAAGACTCAGGCCCATGAAGTTTGGCACCTGTGGTGCATATGATAGCTGTGTGATGCATCACAACCAAGTGATGTGGGTTGTGTTACAACGTTAGCATTTCCACATGTTCAATGCTACAGTGGCCATTACACACCATTTTCCTCTTCGCAACAAATAGGATTAATGAGGCAAGGCCCCAAGGAGGCAGGTGCTACTCTGTGAACCTGGACCTCTGCTAACCTTGGTCCTGAGGGACAAACAGGACCACAGTGACCCAGCCTGCTCCCCACCTCACTCCTCTTGCCTGTCAGCTGTTCCTGACCATGAGCTGGCCCCCTCTTTTTCTCCTTGCCCATGGTCCTCTGTGCCGGCTTCCCTGTCCCTGTCGCTAACTGGCCCCCAAGCCTCCACTCCTGCCATCAGCTGACTTCAGGAGTGTGTGCTAGATTTTTTGTTTCAAAATTGAAGATCAGGGCTGGGGACATAGCACAGGTGGTAGAGCACTTGCCTAGCAAGTGGAAGGCTCTGGGTTCAATTCCTAATAGCACCAAAACCAAAAGAAAAAAAGAAAAATCTACAGATTTGGGGTTTGTGCATGTGATGCTGTGGTGCCACCTTGGTTGTCCTGTGCAGCAGGAACTGTGATGGCATGAGCCAGTCATGCTGTCTGTCTGCACTCAATACCTGCTTTCTTTCTTCTGCCCCTTCCTCATGGCTGCTGGTCTCCTGTGGGCACATCTGACCCTCCTAGGATTTTCCAGCTTGTTTCAGAGTGGCTGTGCCATCCGGTGCAGCCCTGTCCCATGTCCTCTTTGCAGGGGCCAGCTGGCTTTTTTATGGCTTATGGGCTGTGGCTGCCATGGTACCAAGCCTGCCTTCCCCATCCCCTGACAAGACACACAGACTCACATCTCTCTTGGCCTTCATCTGTCTCTTCTGTGAAGTGCCATTGATTTTCCTGGGGGTTCTTGGCTTTCTCCTGCTCTGGTCAGGACCCTGGCATTGTTTATATGAGTGTTGCAAAGTCCCCTTGCAGGTGCAGCTTGGGCCAGCATCTATTATAACCTTAAGGCACTTCAGGTGAACAAATGGCTTGTGGTGCCATCTACCCGTGTCTCCTTGGTATCAAAGAGCAGTGCTGGGCTTTTTTCTCAAACCTTATAATTGCATGCTATGCCAGGTAGGCATACCTACATACTGCACTCACAGGTGCACGCATGTATTCCTGCGCTCACACCTACACAGGTTGCGTGCTGCATTCACACTTGCAGAGCGCAGGCTGGGTGCAATACAACTCCAGTTTTCCTTTATGTTTGCAGCACCCTGGTGTGTGCTGTGTGAGTGTGCCCATGGCTGGGGTTGCTGTAGGACTTGCATCCGTATTTGTGACTGGGATGTCTGGCATATCATCTGCTGTTCTTGCCATCTAGCTTGGCTCTCAGCATCACATCAGCCTCTCTGAGGAGGGGGCTCTCTCAGGGAGGGGTTGGGGGGCCACTTTCTGACACCCAGTGTCTCAGTGTACTGAGACAGGTCCTGTCTACCCATGGAGTTTTGGGGGAACTCAGTGAAAAGCCCTTTGGACCTGGGACATTTGTAGATTTAAATATACCTGCCTGTGAGATTGCTTTAATGAGGGTTTTATGTTTCATTTTCAGCTTGTGTTATGTATTTGTGAGAAATGACCTTTTTTTTTACTTAAGGTCAATTTGGGGGTCATAAAGTTGTTCACCGAATCCCTGAGACTTAGCTTCTCCCTCCTGGTGCATCTGTGGCTGTTCTGTTCCTTGTGTTGTGGATAACTAAGTGTGCATGGTCAGAGACATTGTAAATGTGTTGGAAGCCTGGCTATCTAAAGGAATGCTTAGAGCAGGGTCCTCATTCTGGCTACAGAGCCCATTGTCCACCCAGCACTCCCACATTTGTTGCTGTCCTTGGAGCTGGAAATCGTGAGCACCTTGATGACGTACTTGTGGAGATGTGCATCCAGGGCCTATCATGCCTCAGGAGGCATCACCCTGGAAACCGTGTCCCCTGTGGGAAGCTTGCAACCGCTCCCCAGGTCAGTACCTGTTCGGATGTGGGCTTCCCCAGCGTCACTCTCACACTGGGCATTTACAAAATACAGTGGGAGGGAGGTTGTCCCCCAGAGCACAGAGTGGGGAGGCTTGCACACAGCCAGGACCTGGGTCTGAGCATGCTGCTTGAATCTGCAGAGCAAGGAGTCCACATGGTGTGTTGTTACAGACTGCTGGCCAGAGTTTTAATGTGGTTCCATCACTATGAAAATAGTGCTTTTATTTTTGAGATGGAAGGGGCCCTCCTGAGTAAGGTTCAGCCAGCAAGGAGCAGACACATGTTGCCTGCCCTGACCTCCCATGCCAGGAGAGAACGCTTGTGCTTCTGGGGGTCGTGGCTGCTTCTGCCTGTCTTGTAGAGGAAACCTCTTTTGGTGCAACCTCCAGCCAGTAATCAGAGACTGTTGCACATTCAGTAATGATCAGGGTCTCAAAGAACTTCAATATAATTGGACTGGAAGTAGGTACAGGCCATTGCGGGGCACTGGCAATCTTGAGTTCAGTGAGCAGATGATGCCATCCATGGCTTTTGGAGCTGGGGGAGGGGAGATGGCAGGGTCACCTCGAGGCCACGGCTGCTAATACATGTCATGAAGCTCTGAGGCACTTGTGAGTAGTTTTGTTCCTGCTCCTTGTTGAAACTAAAACAACTCCAGAGCTTGTAGCAGTTGATAGGACCAAGAAGACTGTCTTAGTCCATCTTCACTGCACAACAGATTCCATAGATTGAGCAATGTGTTAGTAGTAGACATTCCTGACCATTACTGTGGTCTGCTGAAGGGCCTGCAGAAGGGACAGGAGGGAAAAACTGGCCTAAGCCAGTTCCCTTTGACCCGCTGCAGGTGCATATCCACCCGGGAGGGCTCTGTCCTATGCCTTTTCACTTCCCAGAGGCTCCTCCCAGCAGTGCCATCCCGAGGTGTGGATGCTTATGTGCCCTCAGGCCTCTGTGGCTCAGGATGGGCTGGTCTTTCCTTGCCCTCCTGGGTTTGACCAGATACCTGTTGCAATTTCTTGGCCATACCTGGGCCCTGATTTGGCGTGCAGGTATATGTGTCTAGGCTCCAGGCACAGGCCCATCCCATGGGCTCTGGTTCCACCCTGCCAGTGGACAGACTAGTATTGGTCCTGAGCAGCCTTGCTAGCAGTGAACCGTGCTTGCTTTCACAAGAGCTTGGATCCAGGCCGGAGGCTTCAGTAGGTGGGTCAGTGTGGATGTGGCATCAGGATGGCTGTAGGAGGGTGCCATTTTCCTCCCCAAGTCTCACTGGCTTAGGCATTGCCGAGGTCACCTGGCTATAGGTGCTGGAGGCTTTCTGCTGTGCCAAGCTGTCTCAGGAAACTGGTCCCCACAGACCACACTGGGCACATGCAGCTTGAGACCTCTTAATATTTAGAGCTCTAATTTAGAACTTGAGACTTGGTCTTCACTTTTTGGAATAAGCCTGTCAAGTTCATGCTGAGCTGGATGCAGCTCAGCGTTGAACCCATAGCAGGTGCTGGGCCAGCCCTTGGGGGTGAGGTCAAGCATGTAGATGGTGCCAGTCCTCATTGGCACTGGTGTGTGGCCTGCAGCCCCTCTACCCTGGGCCTTGGTTTTCTTGCCATGATGGCGGCTTCGTGTCAGATTATTCGTTGAGCAGCAGTGTGTAGTAGATGTTGTTAGAGGCTGTTGGCTTTCTGCCTGAGCTAACCCAAGAGGGGTCCCCATGCATCTGTAGAGAGAGCAGCGTCATTGTCTACCCATGCCTCTCATCAGGGGCCTTGTGCCCTGGCCATGCTGAAGGTAGCCTGGGGATGCTGAGCAGGGCTGGGGGGCTCCTGCCTTGGGAGACAGTGCTTAGGGGCCCCTTCTATCGTGTGTGTCTCTGTCTGTCATAGATGGCTTCACATGTGGAAGATTTACACAGATTTACATTTGTGCAAGAATAACTATTAGAAAATGGGAGGGGATGGTAGGAAATTGGGTTGAGGCAGGCGAGATTCAGGGGATGTTGAGGTTCAGCTGGTAAGCTATAATGGACCCCTGCCTGAGGCCTGGGAGGCAGCTGTGAGGCAACACGTGTGGCCCTGGTGGGGTTGTTGGAAACTGGGTTGTGCCCTCCCTGCCCAGTTCACTCCCTGAGAGCTCACACTGAGGCCCTGGGTGTCTGGCATACCCATAAGCATGGTGCCTTTGAGCTGGAGGGTCTCTAAGCACCAGCCAGCAGGTCCTTGGCTGGCTGGTAAGCCCAAGGACAAGGATGAGCAGGGTTCCAGGAATAGCCTGAGGGCTGTGGCTGACTTATGGGTCCACGGACTCTAGCACTCTGATCATTTGGGAACAAGTAGACACAGCACACAGTGCCCTTACTGTGGGGAGGGGTGCTGCCTCCAGACAAGCCACTGAAGATGCCTTCAGCCATGTCCTTTTCTGTTGCAGACTTTAAAAAATTCAAAGAGCCTTTGCTCCCTCAACTGTGAAGATGATGACGAGGATGACACCCAGGCGAAGACTGTTGTGTCTTCCCCACGTGACTCTCAGGGACTTGTAGGCATCATCACACCTGGCTGCAGTCCCAGCCCGTGGGCCTCAAGGGAGCCAGTGGCCAACATGGGTGAGGGCGGGAGCAGCGGGGACCCCAGTGACTGGGACAGTGCTGGGGAGGAGGGTGTCTTCCCTCTGGACCGCGGGGACCTGGACCTGGAACAGATTGAGAACAACTGACGCCGTTCACTGAGTGGCATTGCTGTCTGTTCCCTGGGACTAGCCGGCAGAAATAGGTTTCCTGGTATTTTGAACATTGAGGTGTAATTTTGATTCAATTTTTCCTAAAGAAGTATTTTGCATTTTTATGACTTTTACAGTTTGGGAGAGCTTCTCTATTTTGAAATGAATTTTCAGAAGGGCATTCTATTAAATGCGATTCTGCCTAGAGTCTGTTAGTGATGTTCCTTTTGTAAGAAGCCTACTGAGAAGAGCCTATGGGGTGCTTGCTGAAGACCTTGGGGCTAACAGTCTGTGCGTTCATGTAGAGGGTGCATGGTGCTCGGGGGTGTCTGTGCCCTTGTCCTTTTCACGTGGTGCTGGTGGACTGCAGGCTTGGACTACCTGGCTTTCTAGCCATGGTGGTGTGGCTGGCCTGGCTGAGCTGCAGGGTCTCACTGATGAGCCTGCTTTCATGACCAGTGGCCTTTGCACTTTTGGGGTGTGAGGAGGCAGAGCACCATCGGCTCCTCTTAGTGAATTCAATAAAAGGTGTTTGTTCTGTACTGACTTCTGACTGATCATTTCCATGGCTCGGGCCTGCTGTCCTTGCTCAGCACTGCTGGGCTATCTGTCCTCCATTCCTCTAACTTACAAAACCACAGGGACTCTTACTGAAGACACTCACCTAAGGAGCACTGTGCAGAGGAAGTTGGTAACAGGAAAGAAAACAGGAGAAATTTGCTTGGTTCCCCCCTGTGCCCCCCCCCCCCCAGGAAACCTTGTGAGAGGTGACTGACATTAGCCCTGCTGCCCCCATGGCTGCCTGGGGTGTAGGTCACAGTGGGCAGAGGTAAGAAGGAAGCTGCATTTCTGGGTGTAGCTCTCAGGCCCCTGGCCTCTCCGAGTGGGCAGATAGCACATAGTGCCCTACCCCTGCCATCTGCCCTTTGAACAGCATACATGTCCTCATTCAGTGGCACCTTGTCTCCTGACACATTTACTTGCACAACTGTGATGTGGCCATAACAGTTTCCCTTTCCATTAATGGCCAAGGACATTTTTCTGCTAGAACCTGGGTTACCGCCTCAGTGGCCCTGGTACTCACAGGTCAGCACTGGCTTGGACTGAGGGAATACCCTTCTACTGCCAGCCCAGCCACGACACTTGATCATGCAAGGGCCTCCTGTGCTTAGTTCTAGAGCAGCCTGTCCTTGAGTTAGTGGCTCTCACCGTGGGGGCCATGATTTAGATAGAGGGTATCGTCTAGGCCTGAGCACTACGGGCAGAGTCCTCCCAGCACTTCTCCCAGCTGGGCAGCCGGGTGTTACTGTGGAGTCGTCTCCCAGGGCTGTGGGCATTGGCACTACCAGGCTCCCTACCCTGTAGGCTGGGGGAGAGGCCTGGGGACTCTGCTCTGAGCACTGCTGCTCTGTGCTCTCAAATCTGCATGTAGAGTCCTATTCCCTGCCTGGGGAGGACTGGGGCCAGGAAGGAGCCCTCCAGGGCATAACTCCAGGGCTGTCCAATGTCCCAAGGCCTGGGAAGACCCCTTAGTATCTCACCCACTGGCCCTCATGCTTGACCCTGAGAAAGTTGCCTCCACCCACGGTTTGGAGCATTCCCTGAACCTTCTTGAATGCCTCCAGATAGACACAAGGATGAGCAGCCCTGCTTTGCCCTACCCAGCATGCTAGAGGGCCATAGGCCCAGCCAGGCCTGGGTATGGGCCAGGGGCTGCAGCCTCTCCTAAGTGAGTTGGGGTCTCTGTGGGCTCCTCCTCTGCACCCCTCCTACCTTTCAGACCCAGTGGCTTCTCTTTAGGCCCTGGATAAAGCCCAGACCCCATGGAAGTTGCTAGGCCTTGCCCACAGTCCCCTTATTCTGCATTCCAGGCGCTCTCCTGCCTTGGCTCCTACTCTGTCTCCATTTCCTGTTCTGGGCTCCAGCCTGCCCAGGTCCTACAGCCCCAGTCCAGGCTGCTGGTGCTGTCCCTACACAGTGGGTGGGGCCTTCTTTCTTTGTCACTGGATCACCTTGGACCCTGCAGTTTCTCCCGCAGCTGGAGCCTGGGCCTGCTCCTGGCTGTATTCTCCCTGCGGGACTCCTCCCTGTGTCCCCACCTCTGCCCCTTACTGTTGTCCATATATCTCCACTTATGGAGGCCTCAAAAGCTAACAGTGGTAGTGCACACCTGTAATCCCAACTAATGGGGAAGTGGAGACAGGAAGATCATGGGTTCAAGGCCAGCCTGGGCAAAGGTAGCAAGACCCCGTCTAAAAAAACAAAACAAAGGCTAGACATAGTGACACATGCCTGTAATCCTAGCTACTCAGAAGACTGGGATTGGGAGGATTGCTGTTTGAAGCCAGCTGGGGACAAAAAGTTGGTGGGACCCCATGTCACCAAACAAGCTGGGTGCGGTGGCATGTTCCTGTCATCCCAGCCTCACAGGAAGAGTAAGTAGGAGGCTTGAGGTCCAGGCTGACCTGAGCATTAACGTGAGACCCTATCTGAAAAATAACAAAAGCAGAAAGGGCTGGGGGTGTGGCTCAAGTGGTAGAGTTCTTTCCTAGCAAGTGTGAGACCCTGAGTTTAAACTCCAGTACCACCAAAAAAACACAAAACCAAAAACACCCCAGGACAAAGCACCAATGTGTGTCCATGCAGGACCAGGTGGTCTGCTGGGTGACATGAAGCTGTCCACCTGGCTTAGTTGTTACCACCTCCATCTCCCCAAGCTGCAGCCCTGTGACCCCCATGCTCCCCAAGCCCTCTCTGCCTCCTGCCCCTGAGTTGGTGGCTCGAGGTCCCTTGTGTAAGTGACATTCTGCAGGACTTGCCCTGTGACTATTGGCTGGTCACTCAGCATAATGTCCTTGAGGTCTGTCTGTACATGTTGCAGCAACCCAGGCTCTCACTGATTTACAAGGATGCCAAGACAGACAGTGGCTCTTTCCACTCTGAGGGGACAGAGACATGCCTAGCCGCTGGCCCCTCTAGCTCTCTCATGGACTCTGTCTACTGCTCTGCCCCCTGGCAGCTCCCAGACTGCAATGCCCATGGCGTGGGAACTTGCTTCCCCTCGCTGGCCTCCTGATCGCCTGAGTCACCTTCACAGATGCCCCTTCCTGGCCCCGGACACTCCCTACCTGTGGCCCTTCCATAGCCTGGGAACAGGCCCACTGCAGGTGGCCTTCTCTCCAAAGCTCTGCCCAGATGGCCTGGTCCCTGGGTCCTTGGGACCTGTCCTTGGGCATCTGCCTCAGTGGTCAGTCCCTGTGGGATCTGAGGCCAGGGCAGGTCCTGTTGGGCAGATTCAGGTGGGGATGGGAATCTTGAACCCATGATGCTCCTGTAGTCTCCTGACACCTGGCCCAGCCCAGCAGGTGCAACCCAGAAACCAGATCTCATTTGTTTACACGCTCACTTATCTTGTGGAAGTAGACTGGCCTAGTCCTATTGACTTGTGCAGGTGTCTTAGCCCCTCTCCCTGTGCCAACCCCACCACTACCAGAGAGCCTTTCCCTGGACCCCCACCCTGTTCCTGCCTCTCCTGACCCTTGGTCCTGTCCCAGTGCTTGGCTGGATCCTCCAGTGGTTCCTGCAGCTCCTGATCCTTGAGTTGCCCCTGGTCATTCTGAATGGTGGGTTTCTGCTCCCATTTTGTGTTGGATGGCAGGCCAGTCCTGTAGCTAGAACCCTGATCACGCACCTCTTCATGCTTTTCTGCAGTTTGTTTTCTAAGTGTCTTTAAGTTAATTTTGGTAATTTCTATTGTCTTAGAAAACTGTCAATTTTATCAAGAATTCTGAATGCACTAACTTGTCACTTTCAATCTCCTTGGCTGCTCCGACTTTCCTCTTCCTGTTCCTCAGGGGCCTTTGTGTTTTCTCTCTGCCTGCTGATTAGACTGGCCGGAGGTTTGTTTATTTTATTTATTTATTTGGAGGAACTAGCTCTTGGATTTACCGACGAACTGTCCCATTTTTCTTGTTTCCAATTCATTAATCCGTCTTTATCTTTACCCTTCCTGCCTCCTCTGGATTCGCTTTATTGTTCTGTTTTCCCTCCTTGTGTCCAGTGTTCAGTTCGTTTATTTTCAGTCTCCCTTGCTCAGTAATAAAAACATTTAAGGCTGTGAATTCTCCGTCAACTCCGCCTGAAGCTGCTCTGGAGACGGGCAGTTTCTCTTCACACGTAATTGTAGAATCGCCTGTCACCGACTTTATTAACTCTCTGAACCAAGAGTTACTTAGAGAGCATCTCTGAATTTCCAAATCACCGGCTTCCTTTTGATGAACCTTTACGCTCCTTGCGTTGGTTTAAACAATGAAGCCTGTGATGTTTGACACTTTGGAACATGGGCGCTATGAGTACACGTGCGTGCAAGTGTACCTGTATGCACAGGTATGGGCACCGTGTGCAAACTGTCCACTCAGCCAGCCCTGTTTCAGGACAGTCAGAGGCAGTCCCTTTGGGGAATCCCCTGCTGCCATTTCTGGGGTGACCTTGGTCATAGGTTTGACCAGAGAGAGCACCTTCTCTCCAGACCACTGAACAGTTCCTGTACTGCCCAAGTCTCCATCCCTACTGAGCATCTTCCTACCCACGTGGCACCCACACCTGGCATGGAACCTACTGAGTAGCTTGCCCTTTGCGTGGCAAACTGACCCCTGGGGTCACCCTGGGCTCCCTGCCACCTAGCCTCCACATAGGACAAACCAGTCTATGAGTGACAGTCTTTTGTCACCTGTTCTTCCATTGGCTCTGTCACATCTGCAGAATTCTGGTGATAGAAGCAACCCTTGGGGCTGGTCCCCAGTGTCAGCCCAGCAGTGGCCACTAAGGGGGTACAGGGCTATCTGTGCTTATGGGCATGGAGCTGCCCTCTTGGTCAGTTCTGGGGGTCCTTCTTGTGCCTGTGTGCTATATGCTGGGCAGAGTGACTGGGACCCTCCCCTCTAGGGGTTCGCTGCTAGTGAGGGACAGGCTGTGGGGACGAGGCCACTTGATGAGGAGACCTGCACACTGTCCCCAGTCTTGGTGTGCGTAGGTCACACCTTGGCGGAACACCGTCCTCACCTGGGCCCCCCAGCCCCATAGTCCCGTCCTCTCTGTGACCCTTGCTGTGCACAGTCGGGCTTGGTGGGGTGGGGTGAGGGATGTCCACAGCCATTCTGGAGCACCCTGGAGAGGGTCAGGGGTGCAGGCAGCAGGTGTCCACCTTAGGTCAGATCCATCCAGGAGCAGGGACGGGGCGGCGGAGGCTGGGCAAGGCAGAGGCTTGGGGTCAAGGCCTCTCCCACTATTATCACTTTTAGAGTGTTAGGATAGCTTATTAGAAACAATCTTTTTATTGCTGATATATAACAAACGTGCAGGTGTGGAGTATTGATTTTACACACTAATATACATCTAAACTCTACTTGTTTTTTTAAATCTTTAAGATAAAATTTGCGTAACATAAAACTGAGCGTTCGATGCAGTGGCCTTTAGTACCTTCATAAGACTGTGTGAATGCCAAGACATTTTACCCCAAAATGGAGCCCTTGCCTGAGCAGCCCCTCCCTGGCAAACCCTGGCAATTGCTAATCTGCTTTTTGTCTGGGTGTTTTATAGAAGCAGACTTCACCATGGGCCTTTTGTATCTGGGTCCATGAGAGTTTTTAGAGCAGGTCCCAGGCCTGAGATGAGCCGGGGCCCAAGTGAGGGTAGTGGGGTTGGG